TGAACCAAACATCAACCCAAAAAATGAAGTGCCAAAAACTGCAGTTCCTCGAATGGCCACTTGAGGCTGCCCCAAAAGTGAGTCGCTCCCCATTGACCACCATGTTAAAAAGTCCAATTTTCCTGCACAAATAGACCCATTTATAGTCTTGTACAAAAAGTGGTTTTGGTCTCTATAGCTAATTTCCTCATTTATGTCAACTGTATAGCGATGAATTTTTACAGAACTTGTTTGTTTAACTTGTATTAAGGCTTAAAGTTATGCAGAATTAAGGTGTGGGCTGCATTGAGCGACACGTGGGTGCCATCATAGGACTTATTCATGCTCTACCTCTTTGCTAATTTTAACCAGGAGCTAAGGCACTACCAAGACGCCGACGACCACACTGAGCTTCAAAAATGCTCTTTATGAAGGTTCAGCCATCTTTATGTGCAGCCAGTGGGATGGACTAACAAGTGCAGATGTCCCCTGGTGAGACATATTTTCTGTTTAGTGCTAATTACTTAGCATTAATATTCCAATATGCTCAATTAGGAAGGTGTACGAGGCAAAAAAAAAAATACCTACGAGACATGAGCATGCTTACATTAGCTGTTAGCTCGGTCTCAGAGCTGCTAACATGACTGTAGACTGTTAGTCTTGTCAAATTATGTATCTGCAACACAATAATTTCAACCTTATTATTACATAATCACCTCATAAAATATAATTTGCCTTGTGTTTTTGGCATTTTCAGCAATATAGCAATTTGAATTTGGCTTAAGAGTCGGACATCAGCGTTAGATTTCATTGTGAATGTTTGAAAATGTTTAAAAATGTAAAGCCTTCCTCTGTTCTGCTCTCCAGTCGGACCTACATACACAACAGCAGCAATTATTACATTTTTTCATACTGGGTTTAAAATTAGAAGTGCAGCTACATGGAACACAGAATACTTTACATTGCAAGACAACAGCATGAAAAAAAAAAAAGGAATTACTTCAGCTTCCTGGCAGCTACAGCTGTGGCAGTACGAGCCAGGCCCCCTATATGATGAAACGCAGTCAATTAACGAGCTCCGTCGACTCGAGATAGAAGAACAACAGAGAATCGCGGCGTCAAATCAGCCGCAGTCTTTGAACTCGCCGACTTCACACGTGGCGCCTCGGTGCCACCGCGATCCGCCAGATTACATAAGACAGCCGAGCGAGTCCGTCCGGCTTCCCAGTTCCAAAAATGGAAGCAAGAAGAAGGCAGCGTTTTTTTAGTCGGGCGGGATGCAGATGGATTCGGAAACACACGCAGGAGCTTACATGACAAGTCATTATCCGGCATCACCCGGAGAAGACAGAGGCGCTGCGAGGGGGAGGAGGGAGTTAAGTGAGAAGACATAAAGGAGGAAAGTATATGTGTTGGTTGGTTGGTTTGGTTGGTTGGGAGGGAGGGGGGCTCTTGATCTCCTGAATGCCAGAGAAATGAGAGATTGAATGTTGTTGGAGTGCAGTTTTTTGAGCAAAGGCGTCTTGCGTTCGATCAGCTGTAAGTAGAGGTGTATTTATAGACGCACTGTAAGCCAGTGATGTACAACAACCGACTACACAAACAACGGTAGAGGCGGCGAAGGTGGCTGCTCTTCTAAACTGTGAAGTAGCTGATGACACATAATGGGTTTGGGTTCAACAGCGTTCTGATGAAACGATGTTCAACCAACGAACGATAGTGAGTTAAGGGAATTGCTTGTTTTTTCATAAAGGTGTTTTAAATTACCAACTATTTCATGATTGGTACCATAAACACAAGTTTTCTCCACCTAATATTCCATGCTAGTACTTAATTATCAGAATCGTTAGCACAAGCTTTTAAGTTTGCAAATGTTTTAAATATTAAGTTGTTCCGATGTTTAGTAGGTAGGGGAGGGTGATGGAAACCGGTGGGAGACGGCGAGACTTAAAGCTAAGTGTGGATCTGTCAGGGTTATTAATCGCTGATGAAATAATGATGCCACAAAGAAAAAAAACATCCATGTGTAAGAACCCTGCTGGCTGCTCTGCTGTATATGAAGTGTTTTTATGGTCGTCGCTGAGCTGCTCATCGGTTTAACATGTTGTGTCGCTTCAGATGAGCAAAAATATCAGACGTAAGCATCCACTGAGACGCCTTTTGAGTCAGTCTATTACAGTAAAATATATATATATATTAGTGCTACTAGTTGAAGTTAGATGTACTTAAATCCCTTTATTCCTTTAAAATGAATACTTTGCAGTGCTGCAGCTTCATTTTAAGGGAAAATCAACTTGAAATTTCCCATTTTTTCCAGCTTTTAGTAGCAAATTACCCAAATGCAAGCGCGAAAACCTGATTCTAAAATTAAACTTATAACTCATTCCTTTCTTTCAAAGACATTCAGGTTAGTAAACCTAATTTTTGCGCTTTTTCTGAAATGAGAACACCAGTATAAAGGGAAGATTTCAAGTTGGTAGAATCCATAAAAGTAAACCGCCTCATTAAAGCAGAAAGACCAGTGAGTTTTTTTTTAACAGTGATTTACTTTAACTGCAGTTCAAATACACTTTTTACAGTGTAGTGGGCTCACTGCGGGCAGCCTGCTAATGATGTGAGCCCACTTATCCATGCATCTGAACACTCTTTAGATGCCAAAATACTGCACAGCGCTTCATAAAACTCTCATAAAGTTATCCCAGCGGTAGATTTTTCTTTGGTCAATCGATACGCTCGTCTCCGTGCATCTACAGACGTACCTTTGAAAAACAATCTAAGAAGTTAAACATTGTGTGCACGCAGTCGTCTTCTGTGTCTGTGACCGCGGCCACCACAGGTACCGGAGTGTGGATGAGTCCTGATAGATCCCCATTACCCCGGGTGTGACCCCTCGCAGCTCAGTTCATTAAGCTCGCCACCCAAGTGTCCGGGACTCAAGTCCAGATTTAATCACAACTTCCATCCTCTTGCCAATCACAATTAGATCCTGATAAGCCTCTCCAGGATGGCACCCGAGGGCCCCCGCACACAGACAAAGGTTAATTTGCAAGCAGCAAGGGCCCCGGCTACAAGGCCAAAGGTCGCCTGATTGAATACATGGAAGGATGTGCGAGTGTAAGATGGCGGGGCTCGGCAGCAATTACAAAGTTCATCAGTATTCATGTGTTTCATTCATGGGTAATGGGTACATTACCTTCAGAGAGGTGTGCTGATTGGATGTGGCCCTTAATGGGAAATAGCTGGTGGGTAGTCTTTAGGTAGCTGAAATTTAAAAGTCATTTCGTCAGCGTTGTGTTTTAAAGTCTCTCCACACATGTTGTCACCTCTGCGAGGTGCTCGGAGCCACAGCGGCGACTTCTCTGCTGGGTTCTGATGAGTTCTATTTGAAATGTTCCTAAAGGAATCCACATCTCCTCCAACGTAAACGTGAGAATTACAGAACGGCATTCTCACTGGATGTCCAAGGTGGTAAAAAAAACTAGTTAGAGGAGAATTTGAAAGCAAATGTGACCACATTTTGTTATTTTGTTTTGCCCTTTAGTGTCTTTAATCTGCTTTTTATTACCGACACGTTTACATACAACCACACCTTGGATATAATTTAATTACTTTTTCTTACAGCAGTGAGCAGCATCAGAAGTGCCACATCAGTTACACGACTGTTGTTAGACGTCCTAATATATCAAATTAGCGATCTTATTAAAGAATGAATTGTTTTCATACAACACTGGTACATGCTATTTTTCTCATCTACTAGTTAGATTTCATATTTTCACATTTCTTATTATACTTTTAAAAATGTTTCATTGTAAAATATTTTATTTATTTTGTTACTGTTCTTATTTTATGCATTTTTTATTCGTATTTTTATTTTTAGTCTCCTTAATTTTCTTTTTTTGCTTTTACCCCTCCTATTTTCCTTTTGTGTAAAACTCATTTTTATTATTACTATTATATATTACGGGCTGCGAGGTGGAGCGGTGGTTAGCATCGTTGCCTCGCAGCAAGAAGGTCGCCGGTTCGCATCCCGTTGAGGACACCCGGGATCTTTCTGTGTGGAGTTCGCATGTTCTCCCCGTGCAGTGTGGGTTCTCTCCGGGTTCTCCGGCTTCCTCCCATGGTCCAAAAACATGTTGAGGTTAATTGGTGATTCTAAATTGTCTGTAGGTGTGAATGTGAGTGTGCTTGGTTGTCTGTCTCTAAGTGTGGCCCTGTGATAGACTGGTGACCTGTCCAGGGTGTCCCCTGCCTTCACCCTGAGTCAGCTGGGATAGACTCCAGCCCCCCACGACCCTAGTGAGGATTAAGTGGTGTATGGATAATGGATGGATATTCTTGCTATTTTTAATATTAGTAGCACCCCCTTTTTAAAAAAGAAAAATCCCGATTTATTTAGTTTTGCATGCATGTGTGTGTATGCATATATATTTTACTCAAACCTTTTCTAAAATATCAGGCTGTAAATGTTGATGTGAAACCAACCCATATGCTTTCAAGAAAAAAACAAATAATTGGAGGGGGGGAGGAAAAATAAAAAAATAAAATAAATCCAGACAGGATCGCTGCCTAATGTCGTTGTCCACTGTCCAATTACAATAAAGGATTTCTGTTCTATCCCATACTCCTCCATTAAAGTGAGACTTTAACTTTTGAAAGAAGAAATAACCCAGTTGGTCTCCAAGGAAACTGAATTACGCCAAAACCCAACTTTCTGCCATTCCCTCCTCTCTTTTTCCTGCCATCAGATTACCATGTATGTTTATTTGCACACGCTCTCGCTGTCAATAAATACTCAGTACATGCACCAGCACTGGTTGTTCCAGTATGACCTGGCACGACTCGGCAACGTTCGTTCCGCGCCAACCGAGCTACAAAGGATTTAGGGGGGGGGGGAAAAAAAAAACACACCAATGACCGCATGACATGTACAAATTCACCAGAAGAGACAGACTAGTTTATTTTGCCCTGTTTATGATTTCATCTCTCTGACCTCGCCTCCTGTGGTGCAATGTCATTTCCAGGCCAGCTGGCAGCGGGGACATGTGAGATTGTGACGCTGGACAGGGACAGCAGCCAACCACGGCGGACCATCGCCAGGCAGACGGCCCGCTGCGCCTGTAAGAAGGGCCAGATCGCTGGAACTACAAGAGCCAGACCCGCCTGTGTGGACGGTAAGAGGAGGAGGAGGAGGAGGAGGAGGTTCCTGGCTCGGCTTGATTTTCTTTTAAGGAGCCACTTCAGTTGGAAAAAAAAAAAACAACAAAAAAAAACCAAGCATGTTTTTATCCGGAGGTGACTTTTACATGGAATTTCTTTGGCCTAAAGAACATGTAAAATGAAGCCAAGTGTGGATAACCCTCCGGTGTGGATCACAGCTCTGTCTTTATGTCGGTACAAACCTGCACCAAATCTATTTACGGTTGAAGCATTTTAAAAAGCAGCTGCAGGGGAGGTTTCTAAATCCTGAGCCGACAGATGGACCGGACACCATTTGCGGAATAATGTCTGTTTCATCACAGTTTGAATGCTTTTGTACGATTGTGATGACTGGTATTTATATTAATAGAGCTCATTTATGAGTTAAATGGTTGACGGGGGGGATTAATTGCACGTATTTTTTGATAAGCGATTATTTGTTAGGAGCTAAATTATGAGATGTTTACAGTTAAATGGACATCTGTTCCAGTCGAGAACGAGTTCGCACGGTGCAGATTAAGCCAATCAGTGCAGGTAAACGTCTGTATTTTGCAATTTCTACGGAAAAGGCAACTTGAGATATGGTGGATTCTATGGTGGAAACATCTAGAAAGTGTCCAGGAAAAGCGCCTGATGCTCAGAGGAAGGATTAGACTATCATAATTCGACAGAGTTTGTGTAAATTGCTCTTGCTTCCATAAAACCAACCCGCACTGCAGGTTGGAATCAAAACTTTCTAAATGCTCGCTGCTAATAGCTTCCCAACTGCTTGTTTTTTTAAGCATCCAACTTTTGGGTTTTTGGACTCCAAGTTGGACAAATGAAGCAATTAAAAGTGACCACCCAGGGCTCGAGAGACTTTTGTTTTCCCACTATTTTCATGGCACAAACCAGCCAGAAATCAATCCTGACGACGTTGATTATAATGAGCATAATTGCAGCTGCAATCGTAATCATTGTAATTTCTGATTCATGGGGTTTTTTTCGAAAGGAAGAGGAAATATTAGAGCAGTTGCAGAAAATAAAGCCAAAATTCGTGCACATTTAGTCCGAGAAGACACATAATTAATGTCAGAAATAAGCTGTTTGTCATGTAAAAAGGTAAGTAGAACCAATGGGGATGGTTGTTTCATGGACATATTTTGACATTTGATCCTCTTGGATGAGGTGTATACTGATAGGAAACCAACACATGACACATAAAATTGTTAGAAAAAGAAAAAAAAGTAGGTTCACTCTTACATTTATCACCTTTAAAACCATAAAATTAGAATCAGGGCTTCCAGATGAGGTGCCAAATAATAGAATCTGCTTAGTTCCTTATTTAAACTTTTGACATCTGATGTTTTCTTTGCTATTAAACTGTGAGGTGTCATCATGCCAAGATCTAAAAAGCTCTCTAAAGCTTATGGATGCCAATATTTCACTGAGAAGTGGTGTAGATTTTTAAACCACTGCCAGTTTGTCCAGGACTGGTCCAGCCAAAGTCCAGCTCTATTAGTGCTCAGAAAGTCTCCACAAAATCCTAAAAATTTCATGACAAATCGGAGTGTGTACCTCTGCAGCTGCTGGTGTCAGAAATGCTGCATCTTCTGTCAGATGGAAGTTGCACAAATTTGACCTGCACAGAAAGCGTGCAAGGAAGAAAAAAAAAACAAGCTTTTGCTGTCCAAAAAGAACATTAGAGCAAAAAGTACAGCTCGCCGCTGAACACACAGGCGAAGACCGGGCCTTCTGGAATACAGACGAATCAAAGATTGAGTTGTTTGGCCACAGTAACGGCGGACATGTTTGGCCGAAGACAGCTTTTCAGAAGAAGAACCTCACACGAGCTTTGAAGCGTGTTGGTGGAGTTGTTGTGGTGGTTTGGGGTTGTTTCGCTGCCTCGGGGGGGCCGGACTCATTGATTCAGCGATGAATTCTGCATCGTATCAAACGGAGCTGGAAGAGAATGTGAGGCAGGGTTGAAGGGGGAAGTGGACAATGATGCTAAGCACGCTAGCAAATCCACGGAAAAGGATGAAATGGAGGGAACGGGCCAGGTTTAAATAGCGTTTGGAATTGGATTTGAACATGTGAGAAAAACCCTTAAACGTCTTGTTGCATGGAGGAAATAGTCAGAACTTCAGCAAATATTTAAATGTAGATACTAGAAATTGGTAAATCATGCATATTTACATCAGGTAAGCTAGAAAAGATGAGTTGATTGGACTAAATTTCTCCGCAGACTAAGGTGTTGTCACCATTCTGCCTCCATGTTGGAGCGTTTTAGGAGTTCTTGTACAGCAGCAGATTCACATATCTTTGTGACATCTTCATCGCCCATCCCACCGCCTCTCCCAGCGCCCGTCACTCTCCCTCGTGACGTGGCCTCGACCCCGCGGAAGGTGCTGGAGGTTGCAGGTGACGGCACAATAAACAGCTCTATTATCAGCAAAGACCTGCGGTGAACTGTGACTTTCGGATGTCTTGTTTCGCCCGTTATCAGCTGCGCCTTCACAGTTGTATCTGGGATTGGAGGGGCAGCGTATCCCCAGCGCTCTGTTTGACTGTCTTTACCTGCTGCTGATCGTACGAAGGAAACAGGCTTCAGACGGACCGAGAGCTGTGTGTCGCGACGCCGGAGATCTGACCTTTTCCGGCGGAGTCGTTTTATTTTTTTCCTGCGGCCAAACCTCTCCACGCTGAGATGTATCATTTGAGTCCTATAAAGGGAAAAAAAATCTTGTAGACACCTGCACCGCTCGGCTGTCCGCACACCTCTTTGGCTGGTGAATAAGTGCTTTGCGTCGCTTCATAAATCCACAGTATCTAGATAATATCGGGAGGCGTTTGTCACGACGTGGGCTCCGTGGAGCTCTGTGGCATTTCGCGTAGGACGGATGCTCCTCTATTTTGAAGAGAGCTTAAGCTTATCAGTTTGGGTTTAAGAGATCTGTGCAGTCGGAGAGGTCGGCAGTACGACCAACGACTGAGCGAGAACGACTGGGGGGAGAAAAAAAAACATGCGAGTCAAATTAAATGAAAACCCCCAAACCCCCTACAGCGAGGGGATCTGGTGGGTTTGTGATGCTGTAGGGAGCATTTAGCTGACATTGTTGTGGTCTGTTTGTCCTCTTAGAAGGAAAGGGTCGCGTATAATCGATACAAAGCTGCTCTGAGTGATCATTTATCCCGGGATGAAGCGTTTCTATCCTGACGGGAGTGGGTCGCCTCAAAGATGACAACGCCTCCGTCCACAGGGCAGGAAGTGGTCGCTGTGGTCAGCCTTTTATAAACGTCATCAAAACACCAAAATATCTTCTGAAAGAATTGTGTTTAACCCCTCAGTCGAGTTCCAGAGACTTAGAGGATCAATGTTAAGGTGGTTTGAAGCTGTTTTATATTGATTTTCCTTTTATTAGCCATCTGTACATATGTAGTAATTTATGAGGCACATTGTTATGAAGCAGCGTTGAGACTCTAAGACTGTCATTAGCTTGAGGTGAGACTGGTTGCAGAGAGCTTTGAAATTACAAAACCAATTTAAAGTCCTCAACATAATGCATGAAAACATTCTGGGCTGCAGTTTTAATGTTTAAGTGTTTCAATCACTAATTACTTAATTAACATTACAAAAAAATACAGTAAATATTGCTTATAATGATAGTCAGTAGCTAGTTTAATTTGAAATGTAAGAAACAAGTAACCTACTGTTTATTTTGATGACTTTAGCAAGGAGACACCAAAATTATTTTTAAAAAATTGTTTCTGTGAAAAAATGAAACAAACACCCAAAAAAGGAAGATGGTACGGCAAAAAATAAAATAAAATACTGTAATATGATTTTTTTTAAAAACAAAAAACAACTATCTCATAAAAACAGTCCTATTCTATAATTAAATTAGACTTTACCAGCCCTAATTTCAAATCACATGTATTCATTTGGGATTTGTAATTATTTAAAGAATAAACACACGTGTGAAAACAATGAAATGATCACACCAATACTTCATGAGCATATTAATTTTATAAATATATTAATGATAATAAACTTAAATTTAAAAGTTTCATATATTATATAAAAGGAAATATTTGTGAAATTAAGATAAACCTGAAAATGTGTTTTTATAGCCATTATATGTAGAAAATAAATAAATAAATAAAAAAATTTAAAAATCCCCCCAAAAAACATGTTATGTTAAATCAGACAATATCTGAAATGTTTTTGTTGTTGTTGCTGTTGTTTTTTGTTTGTTCTTTTAAATTTTGATTAGATTAGATTAGATATAACTTTATTGATCCCTTTGGTAGGACACCTCAGGGAAATTGTTGATTTTTTCAAGTATTTCAAAAACAGAGGGTTAAAAAAAAGTCCCTAAATTCAGTCAAAAGGTGTATTTGTGTGGCGTTCTCTGAGTGTTCCTGTTTACTTTTAATAGCTTCAAAATACAGAATTCACCACAGAATGTATAATAGATCACACACAATGTAGGCTGACTATTACAGTCCTGTACTCGTTACAGTGTGTGCTGCAGGTACAGTAGGTGTAGTAAGGAGTATTTTGCAGGTATTCAGCCACGTCCAGGCCTGAACTTGAACAAATTAAATCCAACATGCAGCTAATCATGTTTGGGATCTCAGATATAATCTCTGCACATTTTGTTGCCTGACTTTACGGCGGCGCCTCCTTCCAGCATCGGCAATATGTTGCATCACGGCGCGATAAACTGGACAATATCGGATAAATGATGGCGGTTTTTACATCTTCTGTCATCTACATATAACTTTGAATCCAGGACCGTTACATGGAATCCAGTGTTTTCATATTTTGTGGTGTTTCGTGTTAACCGAAGCTGAAGGAGTGTGACTGAATTTAATATTTGCTTCTGAGCGCACAGAGGCACATGTGTGGGCATATTTTTCTATGTCAGACTGTAATTTACCATTTCCTTTCTCATTGTCACAATAAAAGAAATGACACACACACACACAC